AGACAGACAGACAGACAGACAGACAGACAGACAGACAGACAGACAGACAGACAGAATAAATATTTGCCACAGGGGAATAAAACTCATAATCCTCAGTGTGCAAGGCGAAGAGCCTAACCCTCACACCACATGACGTACGCCGCAGTCTCTCATGTGGACGTCTGTGAATGGTGAAGAAACGAAAGAAAAACAAAGAAACGATAAATTACCGAGTCCTTTCATTAGGCTCACTCCATCAGTAAATCACCCCCCTCCGCCATCCTTTCTCCCCCGCCCACCTACTTCCGGCCACTTGTTTCAGTCTCCCGTTAGCCCCGCCCTCCTGCCGGCACGTGACCGATCGTGGTCCCTGGTCTAAGGATGTGCTCTCTGAGATCCTCTAATCCCCACACCCCCGCCGGCCCCCCTCATTAATTAGCCGGCTAGTTTACCCTGCTACAGACACTCTTGTACTGTTGCGTCGGTGTAGACTGACGGAGTCGGAGAAGATTTCACAGCGCAGTTTTTGTTACGTCATTCGGTTCGTGTCTTTGGTTTGTCACGTTAATCTATGTATGAAATTGAAACCTATACGGATCATTTATTTATTTTCCTTTGTTTGTATTGTGTTGGGGTTTTTTGTGGGGGGGTTTTTGTAAAGATTTCTTAGTCAAACTATACAAAGAAGCCCGTCTTGTTCTTCAGAAAACAAAAAACGAAGCTCGTCTAAAACTTCTTAACAAGGATATTGCTTTTTTCTTTGTCGGAATAAATGTGACAATTTTTTTAAACACACAAACCTAGTGGAATCATGCACTTATCACAGTATGAATTATTCCATATTTTATCAACCAAAACAGCGACTGCATGCTGATCCATTTCCCGCGTGTGTTTCTCCCGTCTGGCAGACAATATTTTTACGGATTTTCAAAGACTGAGAAGAATTGAAATGCTAATTAATTCTAAAGTCGAGCAAAAGGAGTGAAGAGATTAGAGTTTGTCTGAGGTTGTCTTTTATAATATCCAACTTTTTCCACACGTAAATCCTGCTCGCTGACTTACACTCGGCACAGAAAAAAGATCAAAGAGCCCATACGATGGGAAAGTTAGCGGTGGGATTGTTGATGTTGTGAGTGCACTTAAAGTAGTCTTGTCATTAGTAATGTTTTGTGGTTACTTCCGCTCAGTTAAAAGTACAAAGTAACCACTAGGTTTGTGAATCAGCGGCCTCTGTCTTTCTCCATCTCTCTCCTCCCCCCCCCCCCCCCCCCTCCCCCCCACCCCCCCCCCCCCCCCCCCCTCCCATATACACTCAACCTACCTCCCACACACACCTTCCTTCCAACTCGACCTCCATTCATTGACTTACTACGTTTGCTACAGCGTGAGAAAAAGTGTAACCACCAATATATCTACTTATCCATGTCCTTGTCTTTGTCTTCCCCACAGGGATCTGGAGTAACTCCCCCACAAAGGCGCGCTTCTACAGGGGATGGGCGAAAAACTCCCCGCAGATCTCGCGCTAAAACTGACGTTCTAGTGACTTCTACCGCAGACGGATCGACGGGCCCGCGGACACTGACAAAAGTCGACTCGTCCTCAACCGTGTTCTTACGTGCTCCCGGCACCCCCTCCAACATCCTCTCAGCGACATCAGCAGCAGCATCACCGTGTCTGCCTACGTCACAACAGCAGCAGCAGCAACAACAACAGCAGCAGCGACAGCCGACGACTGTAGGCACGGAGGCGGGCGTTTTCTCTGGGTCAGCTCATCAATTTCCCGCGAAAGGGGCGGTAACTGGCCAGGCGGAGGTGGGATTTCCCGTGGGCGGCAGTAGTGTAGTAGCTGCTGGCTCTGCCACCACCACCACAGCCGTCACTGCTGCAGCCGCAGCAGCAGCAGCAGCAGCAGCAACAGAGGCGACATCGGTTTCAAAAACACACTCTGGCGTGTCGCCGACTTGTATTGCTGTTTTACAACCTTCGTCTGTACAGGGAATAAACAGCGCCAATTTTGTGTTTGTGAATAGCTCCAACAGCAGTTCTGTTATCACTGGACATAACAGTTCTAACAACAACAACAATAACATCAACAACAATAACATCAACAACATTAACAACAGCGACGCCGTCTCACATTTCGCAACCACCGCTACGCCCGTGCACCACGCACCTTACAACGTGACCTCTGTCGGAAATACGGTACACATTACCAACGGTCTCTCAGACTGCAGACCCACCATCGTACAGATCGCTGCACACACAAATAACAACAACAAACAACAACAACAACCATCAGACCAACAACAACAACACTGTGTTGACACTGTAGTGACAGCCTACCCCGCCCCAACATCAAATCCTACCATCACCGCCCTCCCAACCCCCACCCCATCCATTTCAGTCCATCCACCCGTCCCTGCCCCCTCATCGCTATCATCGACACCGTTATCATCATCATCGTCATCCTCATCATCGTTATCGTCATCCGCGCCGTTGACATTATCATCGTGTCCTCCGTCCTCCACCTCCTACAAAGAGGAACAAGACGCGTCTATAGCTCTGCTGGTCAAAGAAAACAACTATCTGAAGAAAGCGTTGTCGCAGAAAATCCGCGCTCGTCAGCTCAACTCTGAGGAGTCAGTGGTCAACATGCCTGTCACCCACAGCCTCCAGTTCCTGACCGATGACGTCACGGCTATGGCGCTGGACACCAAATATTCCCCTATGGTCACCATCAAACAGGAGGAGTCCTACTTGGAAGGGTTCGTGCCTCAGTACAGCTATAACCCGACGGACCTCAACAACACCGTCTCCTCACTCACCACCTGCGCAGATCTACCCATGACATCATGCGCGAACGTCGGCGCCGTGGCCGGGCAACCGTCTCTGGTACCGGTAACCATGGCAACGTGTGAAGACGCTATGGCGGCTCAAGCCGACACCGCCGGTGTTTGCAATAACGTTATGAACCTCACACCGAACTCTATGCACCACATGAGCACGGACCCCGCTGCTGCTTCCCTTCACCATAGGCAGCAGCAACAACATCAACAGCAACAGCATCATCATCACCAACAACAACAACATCATCACCTGCAACAGCAGCAGCAGCAGCAAAATCATCTAAGTCAAACTACCGGGACGTCCGCGGACACAATGATCGTTCAGTCCCCGCAAGGACAATACCTGCAGGTCCTACAGCCATTACAGCCGTTAGAGCCGTTACCACCACCCCAACAGCAACAACAGCAACAGAACGCCAACAACGCCAACCACAATACCACCAACAACAACAACAATGCAACCAACAACTACTACAATTACGTCTACCAACGGGGTTTGAACACACAACTCCTGGAGACAGACAAGCAGGTGGTAGTGGAACGCTACCTTCACCAGCAGCATCAGTATGCCTACAACAACAACTACACCCACTTTCTGACGGCTGAGAACAACAACAACTACAACATGAAGTCTCCAGACAGTGGCTTTCATGAGCCCTGTCTGTCTCCCAACTCAACGTCTGTGGTAAGTAAATATCTCGAAGTATCGAGAACTGAGCAATAACATGGTGATTATGATATTATTTGATAAGATAGCTAGTGGTTTCCATTCAACATACATTATTGTTACTCTCTCTCTCTCTCTCTCTCT